GAAGTGATACCTTGAAGATTGCTACTTAATCACAGAAGTGATACCTTGAAGATTGCTACTTAATCACAGAAGTGATATCTTGAAGATTGCTACTTAATCACAGAAGTGATATCTTTATGATTGCTGCATAATCACAGAAGTGATAATTGAAGATTGTTACTTAATCACAGAAGTGATAATTCAAAGATTGCTACTTAAATTTTTATTATTTGATGAAATTTTTCTTGCAATAAAAAATAAAATTTCAAAAGTGAGTTTTGTAATTTCTAACATTTCAACTTTCTCCTTCAACATTAATGACTGATAAATCAAGGCTGATTTAAAATCTACAGATATGCATTATATTCAGAAATCACCAATAACATTAAATGAATAATTTCAGCTTCACTTCAGCTGAAATTTTAAAATTAATAATTTCAGCTTCACTTCAGCTGCAATAATAATTTCAGCAATAATAATAATAATTAATAATAATTATAATTAATAAATTCAATAATAATAAGTACTACTGAAATAATAATAATTAATAATTTCAGCTTTACTTCAACTTTTACTTAGACTTATATATATTTTTTACTTTTTATTTATTACGATCATCAATTGTTACTTTCTATTACGATTTCAATACATAATAAAAATTTAAGGTGTAATTAAAAAAAAAAATCAGCATAGGTAATTTATTGCTTAATAAAAATTATAATTGAATTTTTTTCATCATATAAAAATAATTTCTACAATTTAAGATATAAACAAAACTTATGGATATTCCATAGGTAAGTGTAGATTTAAGTTAATTTTAAACTTTTACTTAAACCTGCTTAGTTTTACTTTCTATTTATTAACGATTATTAACTATTAATTTCCATTAATTACTATTATAATTTCAATGCATAATAAAATTTTAAAAAGTGTAATTTAAAAATGTTAGAAAATTTTTCTAAAAAAATTTTGCAAGGAATTTGCTAAAACGAATCATTTCCAATTTCATCAGTGTAAATAATAATTAATTCTCTAACAGCGAATAAATAATGAATTACAATTTGGGAGTGGAAAAACGAATGGTTGTACTTTTTAACTTAATTAATATCAAACAAATTTGGTAAAATTGTAATACTGCACAAACGAACAACACCTGTTCAATTATTATTAGGTAAAAGTATAGCCATTTCCATTTCATCGTTTTCTTTTCTTTTTTTTTGTTTTTAATGAATTGAAGAATTTCCAACAAACCTGAAATTAGCAAAAGGGAAAAGAAAAACAAAAATTGATAATCGTTAATTTTTCAAATTTAAAACGAAAAACTGTTAGCAAAAAATTTTTTCATTCTTTCCTATCTGCTCATTTTTGTACTCTTCCATATTGACAGACATATGGAAGATTATTATCAACATGTTTTCCATCTTTTCCTAAAAATGAAATTAGTTTGAAAATTTTTGGTGACAGCAAAAAATAAATAGCAAAGGCAAAGGCAAATTTAAATTCCTTAACATTACTATTAGTTGTTGTTGTTGTTGTTTTTTTTCATCTTTTCCATTAAAATATTTGAGTGTAATTAGTGGAATTTAATTAATTATTCATTATAAAAAAAAAAAAACGATAAAATTATTTTAATGAAAATTGTGCTAATTTATAAAATTTTATTTTCTAATTTTTAATTTAAATTAATGATATAATTTAGTTTAGATAAATTTCAGGATATGAAGAAACAAACAAAGAACCAGTATTAATCATTTAATGATTTAATCTCTGGAATTAAAATGAAACAGAATGAAAATTTCCTGAATTAAAATGAAACAGAATGAAAATTTCCTGAATTAAAATAAAGCGGAATGAATATTTCCGGAATTAAAATGAAACGATTATCATTTAATAATAATAACGTTCTTTCTCTCTATCTTTCTCTCTCTCTCTCTCTCTCTCTCTCTCTCTCTCTCTCTCTCTCCCCGATACTATCATTTAACAATGAAAATGAGTTGTAATAAAATGTTTTAGAAAATGAATGATAAAATTTGACCTTAGAAAATCAAATAGCCTAAGTCATTAATTGTTGCTGTAAGAAATGAGAAAGGTAATTTAAAAGAACAAAAGAACGAAGGAAAGAAAGAAAGAAAAGATTTTTTTTCTGCAAATTGTAAAGTATATTCATTTTAGAAAATAAGAGAAAAAGAAAAAAAAAATGCAATAAAATTAATTAATTAATTAAAAATTATCATTCCACACGTAATAATTCATTCGTTCAATCTTCTGTTTTTACCTTTTACCTTTCATTCATTTTTTATGATTCGTTTACTAAAGTTAAAATTTTTGTCTATAACATTTATACATATACACAGACTCATACAGATACAGACACAGACACAGACATACACACACAGATACAGACAGACATATGTACAAGTAATGATTGAAGAAGGTATTTGCCGTTTACAACATTGTTGAAAAGTTTGTAAAAGATGAAAAAGCAGCAAAAGAAATAAGAGATTTTTAACAAAATTAAAATTAGTAATGCTGTCAAAATGAGCAAATAAAATCCGGTTTCCAATAAAAATTTTTATTCATTAAATAAGAAAATTTCATCATTTAAATTTTCATTTAATTCATTCAAAATAATGATAGCCTATTATCATTGCTAATATAACGATCTTAATCATATTATTAAATGCTAATGATAATAATGATAATACTAATGATTTTTGATAATGATAGAAAAAAAAAAATACAACGATCTTACTATATATTAAATGATAATGATAATTTATGATGATAATGATGATCAAAAAAAAAAAAAAATTGCATTCATATTTTTTACAACCAAAGTATTCCCATTCATCAATATTAATGTAGCCAGGTACAGGTGATTGGATTGCAAGTGCATCAGTGTCAGCAAGCAGACGACAGTCAATAATCATTCACTTTTCCAGAGATGCTTTTTTCTTGCTTTGATAATTTTACATTTGATCGAAAAGGCAAAATTCGTCACACTTTAGTGATCGCTTTCCAGATAGATAGGTGGTACCGAATGGAAGAATATAAAAATGACTCTTTTGCTTCATTCAAACGGTATATCATTTGAAGAATGGGATGATGCGACCCAACAATATCAATATCGTATCGTATCGTATGGAATATAGATCATACGCTAAAGCTATTACCTTTTTTTTTCATTTATTAAAAAAGTTATAAATTTTATCATAAATTTTTCCTTTCTAAAAATTTCAATTTCATCGTTTAATTTTTGCTTAATTTTGTAGTAAGGATGAATTCATTCTTTTTGTTTTAATTAAAATAATAAATGATAGGTTATAATTTCATTATTGAATTTCTATTCTTGTTATGTTAAGAATTTATTTGTATAAATTATTCTTAGAATTTATTTTAATTAAAATATAGTTTAATTATTAGAATTTATTTAGTTAAATTATTATTAGAATTTTATTTACTTAAAATATAATTAAATTATTAGAATTTATTTAATTAAATTGTTATTAGAATTTATTTACTTAAAATGTAATTAAATTATTAGAATTTTTTTAATTAAATTATTATTAGAATTTATTTAGTTAAAATATAGTATAATTATTAGAATTTATTTAATTAAATTATCATTAGAAATTATTTATAGTTAAATTATTAGAATTTATTTAGTTAAACTATATTTCGTGTTTTCTACTTCTTCTCTTTCTTTATCAATTATCACTTATCACATGAAGATAAATGAAGAAAAATAAACAATCATATCCATACAATCATATTCAAATTACAATATATCCATACTTTTTAAAAAAATAAACATATCCCATCAATTGTTTCATTTGTTTTTTTTTTGTCTTTTTCTTTTATCATTTAATTAAACAAATTAATTAATGATTGAAAAAAACAAGTAATGAATTGATGAAACAAAAAAAATTGAATTTCTTTTCAACTTCTCTCTCTCTCATTGTAACAATATTTATGTCTTTACAGGTTTTTAATATTTTGCACATTTCAATTGCTTTAATCATTTCTCTTCTTTTATTATTATTATTGCCAGTTATTAACAATTTTTCCTCTTAGCAGTCGTAAAAATATTTTAATTCATTTCATACACAAATCTTTTAGCTATAAAATTTCTTCATTATAAATATCGCTTAAATTTTTAAAATTAATACTTACCGTATAGATAATTCATTGTCTCATAAATCTTTCAGCTATTAAATTAGTTATAAAATTCGCTTAAATTTTTAAAATGAAATTTTTGAAAATAAATAATGTTTTGGTGTATAGATTCTGCTCGGTGTGATCAGGGAATAGATATGATGATAAGTTGATTTAATTTTTGCTCGGTGTGATCAGGGAATAGATATGATGATAAGTTGATTTAATTTTTGCTCGGTGTGATCAGGAATAGATGATGATAAGCTTATCATTTAATTAGGAATAAATTAATAATTGACAACAAATATTTTTCATTGTATCATTATATTTAATGATAATTTCATGATAACATTGCAATCTTTCAATTATAAAATATAACTATAAGAATGATATGCAAATGAAATATTACAAATTCGGTAGCATTTATTAATTTTCTCAAAATTAAAAGTTTTTTGAAATTATTTTTAACAGTTAAAATCGACTGCAAAAAGTTTGTTTATTTTTTGAATGAAAAGAATTTTCCCAATCACTTTCTTTAATTATTAAAATTATTGGAAAATTTTAATGAGAATTGTTTAAACTTTCGAATTCTCTTCTTTAGCAATTTTATTTTTGTTAATTAAATTATCCTTATATTATTCCATAATTTTGTTTTTTTCTAAATTACCAAATTTACTATCAAATTTGTAACTTAAAATTAATAAATTTAAATTTGATGGAAATTTGAATATATGTTGTAATTGTGAGAAAATCAGGTTAAGGGAAGGATGATCGAATTTCACAATCGTTGATGGATTGATTGATTGATAATTTGCTGTATGTTGTTGTTGCCAGTGTTAATAAGATTGCAATTTGAAGGTAGCAAAATGGTTGATTCTGATGATCCAAAGCAGCTTCTTATTGAGGCAGAAAGTATGAAGAAGCTTGCCTTCTGTGGTGTTGCTGTTTCTACTGTTGCAACATTGGTAGCAATCATTTGTGTACCAATGCTTTGCACTTACATGCAAAATGTGCAGTCCAATCTACAAGATGAAATTAGCTTCTGTAGGACACGTGCAGTTGGATTGCAAGGAGAATTCACTAAAGTATTTTTTTTTTCAAGATAAACTTGAATTAATTAAAAATTGCCAAAGATATTAAATTTTTTATATAATTTGAAGAGAATGAATTAAGCTCAAAGATTAATTAAAGCAATTAGCTAAATTAATTAAATTAATTAAAGCAATTAGCTAAATTAATATAAAAAGCTTAATTTATTTTAAATTAATTAAAACAATTTTTCATTCTTTAATTTCGATATACTTTAGCTCGAATCATCGCGTTTAGCGTTGAAAAAGGAGCGACAAAAGAGGCAAGCAGTCTTCCAATGTTGCAGTTGTGGTATTGGCCCTGTTGGTCCACCAGGTCCACCTGGAAGAGATGGTGATGATGGCCGTGATGGTGCACCTGGTAAGCCTGGTATGCCAGGCGAAGATGCTCAGGAAACTCAGCTGGTAAGTTATCCTAGTTCAAACGGAATACGTTCAAACGAATTTTTTTGATTTTCCGGATTATCCGTAATTTTTTCAAAAATTGTATTCCATATTCTGATAGTCGTCTTTTTTTCTTTTTATAATAAAATAAAAAATTTAAAACTTGATTTTTAAATGTTATAATTTATAAATAATCTGAAATTTTTAGCCAACTGAAAAAGATTTCTGCTTCAACTGTCCCGCAGGACCGCCAGGCCCACCAGGAAAACCAGGACCGAAAGGACAGAGAGGATTGCCAGGAGACAAAGGTTCAAGCGGACAACCTGGTGAACCAGGTCCTATGGGACCACAAGGACCAGGAGGACCAAGAGGAGCTCGAGGAAATCCAGGACCACCTGGCGAACCAGGAAAACCAGGTGTACAGATTGAGGTTTGTTTTTCTTCCTTATACTTCCTTAGCATTAAAAAAATCAAGCAGATATTGATTTTCATTGATTTGAAATATCTTTCAAATTTCAGGTACCCGGACCACCAGGACCACCAGGACCACCAGGCCCACAAGGACCACCAGGTGAGCAAGGTCCAGCTGGACGAGATGGCAATCCCGGACGACAAGGACCACGTGGACCACCAGGTGAGAATGGCAAAGATGGTCCTCCAGGACAAGATGGTGCAAATGGAGAACAAGGAGAAGCTGGTCCAGATGGACCAAGAGGCAGCTGCGATCATTGTCCACCACCTAGAACTGCTCCAGGCTATTAAATAACTTCGGTGAACTATCCAGGAGAGTGATCTAAACCTTATCATTCATGCTAATTAGTATTTCAAATTTTCCATCATTTCTATCACAATTAATTTTTCTAATCATATCAAAATTTTAATTGTATTTAATTTTAATTTCATTGCATTTATAGTTCAACAAATTGTCATAAAAAATTGAATCGCACATCGATGAGAAAATAATAATTTTAAAAAACAAATGAAGAAATAAAGCAACGAATGAGAAATAAAATTTTTCAGCAAGTTTATTTGTTGTTTTTCTTACATTATTACAACAACAATTATTGGTTTCGATCGTTTATGATCGATCATACAATGTTGAAAAATACGAAATATTGATTGATTTGAAATGATCGTTTATGATCATACAATGTTAGAAAATACGAAATATTGATTGATTTAAGAATAAGCAACATTTTCGAATATATACTATTATATCATATTCTGTGTAACCGTTTAAAACTTATTAATAACAGTTTATATTTCCAACTTTACATTTTAATAGTTATCATAAATTACACTGCAAAATTGTAAACATAAAAAGTGATACAATTTCCAGCAATATCAAAAATATAAGAAATAAATTAAACATTCAATATGGCAAATTAAAAAAGAATCTGACAATGGCGCCTATTGATAGTCTCTGATAAATTCTTGCTTACAACAGTAATGAATAAGTCATTTCATTATCGATGTATTATCCATTTTCACATCCATTTTAATTTTCAATTATTTTATATTAAAATTCAACATTTTGAACGCGAAGATGAAAAGATCAATTACTTGATTTGACAATTTGCGCTAATTCATTGTATAAGTATACAAATAGAAAAAAGTATTGTAATTTCTTTGATCAAATAATTATTAAAATTTTACAATTTATATTTGACATACCGATCATATCAATCGTTTATTCTTATCATATAATTTAAATAACATAAGTGTACTTATCACATTTCTTATCACACTTAATAGCATAAGTGTAAATTGTAATATTTCAGTAATACATGTAATAGATCAATTTTATCATCTATTTCAATGCATATTTGAATCATAAGAATATTTAATATATTAATGTAATTAAATTGATGTAACGACGTACGTGAATTTAATCATTACTACATATAATATGTGTGTTTTCATGCTTATAAGAATTGATGAAATCGATTAACTATTATTCATATAAATATTATCTATGGTTAGAAAGAAATTATTATAAAAACTAGACCTTAAATAGGCTTATTTCATGAGTCTATTTTGAATAAACAATTTTACATATTAAGAGAACAGTTACCTGTGAGTTATTCAGTTGAAATATACACATAAATATTATTTCTTTCTTTTAATCGTTTGTTGACAAAACTAGTTTTCAAGTTTTGGTGTGAACTTAAAAATTTTGATGTGAACTTTAAAATTTAACAATTTCCTTATAGATGTGTCAATAGGGTTTATTTTATAAATAAAACATCTGAAACTTAAGTATGCAAATATACACAACTGTAGTGAAATACTTTTAAATCCAATCATCGTTGCAAAAAAACATTTCAAATTCCGCGTGGGTGCGCAAAAAATTGAAAAGATGGGGTGAAAGATTAATACAACTTATGAAATTGTTGAATGATAAATTCAACAGTAGAATGAATATGAATGAATGAATCTATGAATGAAGCAAGTCTAACTATTTGAACTATTCAAATGAATATGAACTTGCTTTCTATATCTAACATATTCTTATCCAAAGAGATGTAAGTTTACGAAATATCGTATTTTTGCTAAAACAAAGTATAATTCCATTAATTACTTATTATTTCTTTAGCAGATGAGAATTATATGCGTAGAAAATTTTTAAAAAATTTATTTCATTATGTTGAAAATAACGGATCAAAAATACATTCATAAAGATCATTATGTTATTGTAACTTTAAATAAATATATTGGAACTTGACAGCTTGACGAAATTTGAAGTATAAAATATAGCAAAATGACAAAAAAAGACAATAGGACTTTTTATTTATAAGAGGAATTCAAATTATCAGACTAGGTATTAGCTAGATGATTACCTGAAATAACAATAAAAATGTAATTAAGGCAAAAGATAACAATAGGCTATAAAAGAGATTATCATTGTTGTACCATACAACAAATACACAATAAGGCGTTCGATGTATCAGAAAAGTTTTGAAAATATTGATCGAAATGTAGCATTTCTAAAAAAGAAATAAAGCCTAATTACTTTTCTGTTACAATGATTTCAACAAATACACAATAAAGCGTTCTCAGATATCTTAGAAAAGTTTTGAAAATATGTATCGCCGAGAGAAAAGGATGAAATAAACTTTCTTGCATTAAGCGTATTATTAGTAAATGAAAGACCAAATAAAACTTTATGATAAAATAAATCATTTTTTAAACATAATCTAAAAGATAGAAATCAATACATCAACAATTAATCATTACGAAATGAGAGATGAAGGAATTTTTGAGATAAATTGATAACATCATATTTTCAAACTTTTTTACATGCTCATAAAATGTTCATTATGTGATGTGTAAGATTGATGGATTTTAAGGTAGAAAAGAAATCATGTGTAGAAAAAGGGAAAAAATCTGATAGAACGTTGAATGGAAAATGTTTCCTATGTAAAAATAATATCTATGTTGTAAACCAAAATAGCGGAAATAGACGAATGGTTTCAAAATGAAATTTACCTTTGTAAATGTTTGTAAATGAAATATTCCTGTACTTACGAAAGTGGTGGAAATAACAAGCAATTTCAAAACGAGATGTATCTTTGTAGATGTTTGTGAATGAAATATTCCTGTATTTACCAAAGTGACGGAAATAAACCTATGGTTTCAAAAAGAAATGTACGTTTGTAGATGTTTGTGAGAGAAATATTCCTGTACTTAACAAAGTGGCGGAAATAAACCTACTGTATCAAAAAGAAATATACCTTTGTAGATGTTTGTAGAAGACCCTTTGTAGAAGACCAATTTTAAATACAGTAATGAAAGAATGTTATTACCAGGATATCAAAAATATCTATTATGAAAAGTGAGATCAATGATCAATAAGGTTTGAAAAATGAGAAATAATAAAACAGAAGATTTGGAAACTATCAAAAAATATAAAAATTTCATCTAAAGACGAATAGGAGAAATCTCTTCAAAATCTTTGAATTAATTTCAAAAAATTCAAATTATGAAAAAATAAAACAATGAAAGATGCTTTTTAGTATAATAAGTATATTTGTTTTAGGCACAGCTGATTTTAAGCTAAGCGAATCCTGTAGTATATTTTTGCATAACTAATTGTTGATTAGGTGATTCATAGATTCTTGGTTTTTAATTAGTAATACGGTAGAATAAGAAAATCTCTGAGATTGATAATGTTTCAAGGATTATTTTAATTTTAGAATTTTTGTCTCTTAATCAGAAAGTTTATTCTTCTTTGTAATATCTACAATCTATTCCTATATCGTTAAGGACCAAAGACTAATCATACCAAAATGAAACTGAAATTATAAGTTATTCGCTTGATATTACTAACATCATAGTAAGGAGAAAAAGGAAAAAAGTGTAATATAACAGCAGAATCTAATTTATGTAAATAGAAAAACAAACAACAAATATTTCTCGAGAATAGCGCTCAATCGGGAAAAACAAAGCGAAGTATGAGGAAGATATTGGAATAATGAAACCCATCCATATTTTATGAAACAAGCAAAATTAGCATTACGGAAACATCTGAATGCGTATCGCTCCATTCACTCGGTCCGATGATATGTCAACAGAATGTGTACAACTTTAATATCTAGGTTAGTGGAAGCAATTAGTTCTGCTTCATAATCATCATACAAAGAGATATCATCAAACCATCAATTAGCTCTAATTTATGGAGCGATACACCCAACTCTTCTATTATTATCCTAACAAAGACAATAAGACAATAACCCGATAAGACGATAAAGACAATAACCCGATAAGATGATAATTTCGGATGGGTTAAACCATCTTTGTGCTCATCTGGTTTTTATCTTTAAGACACAAAGATCTTATGACTGAAAATAAAGACAGTTTCGCTGTTAAAAATTTTCATTAATCTAATAGTAAAATTTCTCACTCCATCTCTTATATGCTTTCATTTCATTTATCTCGTTTAAAGTTCGAAGCAGGTTGGAAAAAGTTCTTTTTCGATGAATTCAATATTATAAAAGTTTCAACCTTTGTTCTTTGCTTATCAAGAAATATCGATTTTTAAAAACAATGAAACTTTAAAAAAAATTAGAATTGCGAAAAAATTTTTGTTAGATTCTTTCCACTTCTAATTCTTCAACAATTACTTCTTACTTAATTAGAGCTTGACAAATATTCCCATTTATTACTACAAGTTAAGAGATCTAATTTTGCTTATATGAGCGCAATCTTTTGCGCAAAAAAAGGCATATCATAAACAAAACAATCAACCAAATGATGATAGATAATACAGTTCTTTTCTGCTATTTCCATCAGGAAGCGAATAAATTTTCGAAAACTACAACATGTCATAAGTTGCTCACTGCCTTGCGACAACGTTACTGACAGTTTCACAGATTCCAATCCACTTGCAAATCTTCTAAAAAGTTTTTATAAATAAAAATTTCTAAACAACGTTAAAAAATGGCTCCATGATATGGGCAGTTGTCAACTTCAAAAATAATTTTAATTATATAATGGTTTAGAAAGAAAGTTATTTTTAACCAATTACAGCAGCAGCAGCAGAATAGTGATCATCAAAAATCAACAGAAATAAATTAAGTGAATTTCAATTTGAAAGAAACAAACCGAGCCAGTATAAAATCACTAAATGCATGACTGTTAGCCAAGCCACCACATTTATCGTCTAATATTACATGAAGAAAACGAAGTTTCGGCATCAGCAAAATGGGTTCAAGTCTGATGATGTATTGTAAAACTGAAAAAAAGGAACTAGTGAATATTTTTTTTAAGGAGGATTTGATGTTAAGTATTTTAATCTGAATTCGATCCATGGCATTAAGATTGAAATATATCCATAATTAGCATTTGATGTTGATGCTAATGTTAATTACTACTCTTTACTCTCAAATACTGCTTTACAGAATGTTTGCGAAATTTCCAGAAGCTTTCGAGATATATATCTTGTTTATTTTTGACAATATTAAATCATTATCAATCTCAAGATACAGCAAATCTTATCTCCAAGCTCAATCTTAACAAAAGATGATAAGCGCAGTATCATTTATAAATATCCTGCACTTGTTAGAAATGTTTACCTATCGAAAATACTCCCGCATACACAGTAAACATCGTAACGTGTGGAAAAATATTTTGAATAATAACTTCGAGCTTTCTCATAAGGATCTAAATTGATATATTATAATAAAACAAATAAATGTCTTTAGCAATCAACTTTTTCTTCACAATAAAATTTGATTTAGTCTATTATATTGTTGTAGGAATCAATCGAAAGTTAACGATTGAAAAACGAATCACAATAATTTCCGCAAAAAATGTATATCAAGCAGAAAAGTAAGATGTTTTGAAACATCTAACTTCATCTTCATAAACTACAGGAGAACAAAATTGCTCGAAGAATTTGCAATCTGGTCCTGTAACTGTATTCAGTACACGATAACTCTTATATGTTTGTCGTAGCATATCTTTGAATCCTTTGCTAACCCTATTCCATCCTGACAAGCACAACTGAAACAATCACAAAATATTGTCATAAGCTTGATAATGTTGATAGACAAGCCTTTTTTCTCAACAATTCAAATGCAGCAGGAAGAATATAGCAAGTAACCATCTGTAGTATCAAATTTCATTTGTTAACAAGTGATATCGTTCCAGGATTATTAAACCTTTCTCGTATCACAATTGAAATGAAACTTTTCAGAAAGGTAATGTTTATACTGAGTATAATTTTCTCGTACTTTACATAATATTTGCATTTATCGTTTATTTCAATCAAACTTTCATTTTCTTAAAAGTAATAAACATTAGGAATGAATGATTTCCTGCTCGAAAATAATAAGTAATTCTATTTGAAAATAAGAAAGAACCTGAACAGGTGAAATATACGAAAAGATCAATTCAATGATCTCATCCGGTAAATTTATTTCAGTCATACTTTCTCGTATTAATCTATATCTCATTGTTCGTTGATGCTAATTTGTACGCGTAAAACATATACTAAATTCTGCAATATTTAATCACATGATTTATCATGAATGAAATATGACAAGATGAAAACGACAAATTCAACAACAAATAATGATAATCTGATGGAAAGATTCAAACTGGCAGAAACAACTGCTACGATATCTTTCATATATATGCCATGATTATAAAGCACAACAACATTTTCACATCTTTTTATCTCTTTAGAATAAAAATTAGAAAAAAAAACAGTTTCAAATTTCTATAAATTTAAGATATCACTTGAAATGAGAATACAGATGATAATCAATTAAATGAAAAATGATAAGATAAAATATGAATGACGCATCAAACATGTAATAAAATAACTCAAATTATACAACAGAATGTAACCAACAGTTGTAAATAACTTTAAAATAATAAAGTGAAATGTATCTCTGTGTGTCAATTGATAGTAGAATATTTTAAGTTTGAATTCACAGAAATTTAGATGGAATTCATAGTGATGAAATGTTGGATGAATAGATGGATAATTAGTAGAGATATGGATAATTAAAAGCCAAATGTATTCGAAATTGGTAAAAAGGAAATGATATATAATTAAAACCTAAAATAGAAAATAAACAGAATGGTTGGACAATGGGAAATATCTAAGAATGAATTGGAACATTTCTAAACAATAAATTAATTAATATTCGATACATTATAGCTTTATCGATTTGTGTAGTAATAGATAAGATGAATCAATTATTTTAAGGCAAATGGTTATTAATAGTTAAAAGTGATGTTAAAAGTGATGAATTAGAAAACAAAATTTGAAAAATAATAATTAGTGAGATAAAGATTTTGAAATAGACTAAATCGTTGATAATATTAAAATATGTCAGTAAAGTAATTCGTATCAGATTTCGTTTCCTACATCTCACTTGTAAAGGATCACAAGTCGGATGACAGATTTAATAAAAAAAGAATAGTCTGATTTTGAAAATTTTTAATTATCTAAAGAATTTCAATTGTTTTATATTCAGACTGATCAAAAGTGATATATTAATTATGTCACGAAAATCATTAGAGTATTCCACTGATAGCAAAATTTGTACGTATGTGTAGGTATATGTATGTATATATATATGGGTGTGCGTGTGTGTGTGTGTGTGTGTGTGTGTGTGTGTGTGTGTGTGTGTATGTGTACTTCGATATTTGAGTAAAGGAAAAAGGTAGGAAAAGAGAGAGAAGAGGAAAATGAGAAAGAAAGAAAACATTGAGATTTTTGATATCTTCCATTGATCAAAAATAACATTCCCGCGGAAGCGAGTGATCTTTATCTCTCATTTGGAAAAGATTGAAAATAATGAGACATAATGAATAGACGAATATATGTTTACTTATTGTCAAAGTTCATCCGATCAATACAAAATTCAAAAAAACAAAAAATGAAATTATCATTAATTTGGCAAAAAGAAGTTGTCTAAAATAATTAGCAAAAGTAATTGCGGTGCGTATTGAAATATACTCACTTTAGATATTAACAGTATAGTCAAAAAAGGATGAAACAGTAAATAGTATTGAATAAAAGATATTTGATTATTTAATTTTAAATAAATTTAAATTTTATGAAAAAATAAATGGACTAAAATTAGGAAAAAATAATCGATCAAGTAAGGTTAATTGCCGATGAAGATGTTACAGGGAGAATTTGAATTTGAATTTGACCTCGATGACCATATCTGAGGACATTTGTGTTGTGACCAATCGCAAAGGTCCCAAAAAATGACCTGAAAAACAATAAGAACACAGTTTGAACAGTGTTTTCATAATGATTAACAGCATTATTGGAAGGATTTTGATTGAGGAAGTATAAGAGAATGATGGGAAAGGGATATTAGAGAGATGGAGAGAGAGAGAGTGTTCAGAGAAAGAAATGTACAAAAACTGTATATAGTAATAACAAAAAAAAATGTAGTGAAGAATAGAGATGATAGACAAATATGCAAATAGCGAGAGATTTTGGAGATTAAGAAGATTATGAAATAAAGACAATTAACAATTATGTCAAGGCTTGAGAGTATTGACAATTAGAGATGTAGGAAATGGCATAGTTAGAGAATTAATAAAATGCCAGTGAACATGGGCGATGGGTTCTTGTTCACTTTGCAAATAGCAGAGTGATCGATGATTTTTTTTTCTAGTGTTTACGGTTTGTTAGATTTTCATAATTCACCTAACCGCTCGTCAGGTAAATTTTTTGATGAATGGCTTTGTTGTGTAATTGATTATCTTTGCAATTAGATAATCACGCATGCACCTTAGATGTATCGGTCGATTTTGCACAATCGATCGATAATTGCAAATATTTTATTTATTGCTCTATGCTTTTATTGACTTTATTAATATGTATGCACAGATAACAGCTGTGTTCAAAAGTTATTTAGTAATAAGCTGCAACTCTTATCATAATCGATAAAGGGCAGAGATTAATTTTTATTATCAGGACTTGTGGCTGAAAGTATTAACTCAGTAATTTTTTTTCCTATTTAAGCTATAAACAATAGCAATGACAACAAAACGGTTCGCGTTTAAATCTTCGAAGCTCTCCTCTGCAGCAGACCAATTATGGTTAGCCAGTAAGAGTGGTTTCAAAGCAGATGAGAAAAATATAAAATTGGATCTTGGGAGGACACTTACCAAGGATAAAACGGAAAAGAGTGGAAATACGGAAGCGGCAAAAAGTACCGCTGTTGATTTTATATTTGGCTCGAAATTATCGGAAAAAGTAATCATCAGTAATGGAGTATGCATTTTCCTTTTCTTTTACTTCTTTCTGCTTATCTTTGATATAATTTAGGGTGATTAGATGGTTCGTGAAATACATTTTTATAACTTTCAATTTGACTATTAAAACACCTACCAAAGCTTCTAGTGGCGATAAGGTTTTTTTTTTAAAGGCATAATTATGTCATATTAGCAGCATATTCTTTAAATGCATGCTATTTAATTAATGGCAACGAAGCCTAAAATTGAGGCTGTAAAGGAGCTATGGATTGTGAGGATTTTCCGATAATTAATGATATGAATTTTGGCAGGATAGAACGGATGAACAAAATGCTGGTAATTCCATAAGCGAGCTTACCGTAGCAAAGAATGAAGCCAAAAGTGATGCTCCAAAAAGTGTTACAGAAGTATTTGAAGAAATCAAACAAAAAGGAGCTTCATCATCCTTTATCAATAATCATAAAACAAAAGAGTCAGTTGCAGTGAGTTTTAATTAATTCAAAATTGTGGATAATCCATTTTTATATTTTTTTGTTAAATGTTTGTTTGAGCTTTTGAGTTTTTTTGAGAAGTAGAATTTGTGAGAAGTACGTTTCTGGAAATATTGCATCAGTATTTGAATATATATGTCATTGTTCTTTTACTTTGAGTAAGTTTTAGCTCAAAATATGCAAATTATTTTTCGGAATGTCGTTTTTTTGTAACACATTTGAATTTAACATTCTTAGTTTCCATTTTTCTTGTTCTTTAAAAGTAAATTCAAGACGATTATTTTGGATTGATTTTGTGATAAAGCTAAGATTTACTTAAAGTAAAGTTGAAAGACATGCTAATTATCGTGTTTTGTTACAGGATTTAGAAGCGGTCTCTGCTTCATCGAGTTCAGTTATTAACGAAGATAATTCGATTACGTCTTCAGAGAAAGAGGAGTCATTAATTCCACCTAAACTAGATATTCTGACTGGTGAGGAGGGTGAAATAAACATATATCGAGTAAGTTTTCTTGGAAGAAGTTAGATATAAAAATGCATTTTTATGACAAGATTTTCTTTTCCACGAAAATGTAGAACTATTAGAATTATACCAAAAAGTAAGAAGTGATTTAATTTAGGCAATGTGTAAGTTACATTCATTTGATAATTCAACGAAATCATGGATGGAGCGTGGCTTGTCTTGCTTACGTATTAACGAACGGGGCGAAGAACCTCCTTACACATATCGAATCGGTAATGACTTTTGTTACCTGTTTTCTCTTTGATTTAGTCAACAGATTTTTTTGTGTGAATTAATGCCGCAGTATTCTTTAGCAAATTATTTTTTATACTTTTTTCAAAAATTGAGCACGTTGTACGTGAAAATTACCATTCATTTTTAATGGTCGTCAAAAAAAATAAAATTGGCTTAGGTGTAAGGGGCGATGCTCATTATATGGAAGGTGAGTATACAAAAAATTTAGGCTTTCCTAATTTTAATTACAGTCTTTAATGTTTTCAATAATGGAAGTTTTTTATCCTAGTATTGTAAAATGAACACTTTACAGTTATCAGTTTCGATCAATTTTCTTAGTGACCGCATTCTTTGATTTTGAATTTTATTTAATCAGATCAAGATATTTTTAGTTGGTCGAGTAATGGGCAACCAAAGGGTAGTGCTGAATTCGCAGATATTTCCGGATATGGTTGTTGAAAAATTGTCAATGAGACGGGTGAAATTCTCAGCCACAGCGCCAGATTCTGAAGTCCCAACACTTTTTCTTGCCACAGTATGAATTTCTTGCAATCTTTTTTCTCATTCTGCTTTTTATTGTCAGATCTTTTTAAATGCTCGAAGATGGGCATTGTTTTCTTCGAAAATGAAAGAGGCTTTTCGGTTTTGAAATTGCCATCTTTAATGGCAATTTCATCATCTTTAATGATGAAGTTCTCAACCACAGCATCAGATTCAGAAGTTCCTGTATTTTTCTTGTTACAGTCTACTGGTGTACACTTACTTATGAATCTAGGAGTCTTGCTTATTCAGGCTTTCGTTCCTTGTGAAGTTTCAGTTTTGATTGCAGTATTTATACTTGAACACGGTTGTACTTTTTCTGGACTTCTGAAACTACAGAAAGGCTTGTAGATTTGCAGAGACAGTCCGCTAGTTTGTTTTTGTTACAGCTTTTGTGTGCTTGGCTGCTAAACGATTTTTTTCACTGTTTTCCTTACCTGAAGTATTTTTAAGGCGTCTGAATTTGTTGCTGCACAACTTTATGGAACTCTCTCTCGAATTGTGGAAAACAAGAAGAAGGAAACAGTACGTAAGAGAAAATTTTCAGATACAGTTCCAGAAGATGATAATATCGAATCGAAGAAAGTTTTGGCTCAAAATTAATTTATTCATATCCCAGTTTCAATTCCCACATTTTGAAATGAGACTTTCATGAGTTTTGCTGTATATTAGTAGTGATCTTTTCCCTATTTATAAATGAAATTACAAAGCGGTAAAAATGAAGGAATGTTTTACATATCTTCAATACATAGCATAAGCAATAATAGTAAGCATCAAGTTCATTATGGCTTTAAACATAAGAACTGAATTAAATAGATTACTCTGTAGAATCTCTGAGCTGAAGTTTATTTTTTATGCTTCGTTAGCATTATGCTATGTAATGCTGCTGTAATGGATCAGTTAACGAGTTTAATGTAGATAAATCTCAAACAAAAGATCATCTCGGTTATTTTTGTGCCAAGATGTATCGTTCATATTTCCAGATGGATTTTTCATAGCATTTATAGATTGTTACTTTATTACTGTTGAAAAGGCAAAGATTTGGATTTCTAAATCATTTCAAAATGGAAGCATAATATTTTTTGAGTAATGCAGTTTGGAGGAAATGATATTTTCACTTATATCTATTTTATGCTTGTGCAATATATCTCGATTGTCAATTTTTTAGTCCGTTTGTAGTTCATAAAAGGAAGCCTATTTTCTTTATTTTCGGTCTATTTTCTTCACATTAACTTTACAGCACCGGTCTATTAGGATATTGTAATAGATTCGAAATTTAATTTGATTTGATCTTCTTATTCCTTTTTCAGCTGAATAACTTAATGATTTGTCGAATTGAGTATACAGAGTGATATTTACGAATGTATGGAGAATATTTTTTTATTTTGTTTGTAGATTAACCCTGTCGTGAATTCGTTGATTAATACACTTTTGTATTACCTCAACTTACATCCAGTCCTTGTTCTTTAGCTCTTGGTAACATCATTGGTTGACTTGTAATTATGGTTGACTTCCATCATCATGAAATGTCACTATTTCTTGGGTTATTTACAACTGTTAATTGATTGAAGAATTTCCTACATTTTCCATCATTTTCTGTTAAGTAGGAACGCGTACAAAGATGTTCGAACTTCTTGCCAATAAAGTCATGTTGTTATTATTGAGTAATGCTGTACAGCATTTTTGTACTGCTTTTTTCGTGGCCAGCATTTATGCAACTTACAAAATGAGCAAATTCAATTTTCATTAAGATTTGTTGCAGGAGAAAAGTAAACTATAATGTCATACATAATAGCTAGGATATAAATTTTTTGGAATTAGTAATCAATAGCGCCTAGCTGAAAACGACATTGTATAGCACTATGATGGCATAGTATGGTGTTTTGATCCTCGGAAGTTTTCAGTTTCGAAAGGGAAATGGTAGATCAAAAGTTTTATAATGTATTATGCAGAATGTGGGATTAGCATAGGGTTAAATGTTTTTGATTATTCATTACAATTTGATTCATATAAAGGAGAATCTAAAGAGAAAAGGCATCTGATCATGTTTCTCATGTATTGGACTGAACTAAATTTTCAAGCTCCAAAATTTTTACATAATGATTTATACTTAATACTTACGAACACATCATTATTTCATACCATTCATTCATTCATTCATTCCTCAGTTCTACACTCTTTCTTGCGTATTTGAACTAAAGGATAATAATAAATAATCACTGCTTTATTTCCAGCTATCTTTTTTATATAACTCAACAAACAATCACATAACACGTACGTAAGGCTAACGTTTGTTTGAATGGAAACTTTGCAAGCGCTACTGATGTATTTACTTTTAACTATTCATCAACAAGCAGCCACATAACACGTAAGGAAGGCTAACGTTTGTTTGAATGAAAACTTTACAGGTGCTATTGATGTATTTACTTTTGAACTATTTTTTTTTTTATATAACATCAACAAACAGTCACATAACACGTACGTAAGGCTAACGTTTGTTTGAATGGAAACTTTACAAGCGCTATTGACGTCAGATTTTCTTTGATTCCATTAAAGTATCTGGAAAAAAGGCTTAAAATAACGAGGCAGCATCCTTTTATTATGAACCTGTTTTTCTTTTCTCTTTCTTAATAAAATAATTTTAGGGCAATTAGCGAAGTTCAGAAAAAGAAAATTTAGAGGCTTCCATGAAATATCTACTGAAATACTAAATTATATATATTTGCCATACTGAAATACTAAATTAGATACATACTGAAATACTAAAATTATATATATTTGCCATACTGAAATACTAAATTATATATATTTGCCATACTGAAATACTAAATTAGATACATACTGAAATACTAAAATTATATATATTTGCCATACTGAAATACTAAATTATATATATTTGCCATACTGAAATACTAAATTAGATACTGAAATATTAAATTATATATATTTGCCATACTGAAATACTAAATTATATATATATTTGCCATACTGAAATACTAAATTATATATATTTGCCAGAGTCACAATTGAAATTGTTTTTCGAAATAAAATACATTTAAGATTATTTCGCTTAAATATGAAATCTTTAAAAAAATAAAAGATGTTTTTAAAAGAGGAAGTAAATAAAGATGGGAGAAGAGAAGAGTGATGTGATGTTGACAGTGATGTGATGTTGACAGTCCAAAATGAATGCTTAATTGCAACGGTTACATAAATTTTTACTAATTAGAAATAACTCTTAATTGTATCATTTTGTAATGTAAGTCTATTCGCATTTCATTTACTTATTTTTAATTTATTATATATATTTATGATCGAACTTATTTAATTATTCATTGCATCCAAAATTTTTATCAAATTTATTTCTTTGATATTAAATACAAAGTTTGTTTGGGTAATATCAATTTCCCTAAAACTTTCCTATTTCAAATTCTATTAAAATAATTTCGATTATCAATAATTCTTTCAAAGTATTGGCAAAATTAAAAATTTAATTTGATTTTCTTTTTATTCAAATTAATTGAATTTAAGTTTGTCTTTTAATTCCTCTTTACAATTTGGATAAATGCAGTAAATTTACAAGAGGATAAGAAGATGATAAGTGAAAGATTATTGGATGAAAGTATAAAATTACTTTAGTATCAAAGAACTATCAAACTATCACAAATTCATCATAGTAATATGATAGTATAGAATACTGTAATAAATGATTGTAATAAATTATGAATTAATTAATTGATAAAAATTTGTGTTAACTTTAATTAATGATTGTTGTTAATTAATTGTTAATTTTAATTAATAGTTAATTATTTATACTTCAATTGTATCAATTTGATAAATTATAAAAAATTTTATGCAATTATAGGAGAGAGAAAGAGAGAGAGAGAGAAAAAATAAACAAAATATGCTCTTTTGTTATTGTTTACATTTTAAGTCAGATGTTTACAATAAGGTGCTTACATTTTAAGTCCAATTTTTTTCTTTCTTATTAAAAAAATAAGCTATGTGTAAATTTGTTTATTTATTTGTTTATTTTTGTGAAAGGAAAAAGAAAAGATGAAAAAGCGAAGCATTTGAAAAAGTTAAATTAAAGTAAAGGAAAAGAAATAAATAACCAATTATTGAAATAGTCACAGAAATGAGAAATAAAATAAGAACATTTCTCTCTCTCTCTCTCTTATAACCTTTCTCTCCTCTGTTTTTTCTAACTAAAAAAGAGTCTTAAATTAGAACTAATCATTTTACTGAAAAAGATGTTCTAATGTTATTGCGTGGAATTCTGTAGAAAGCAAAGAAGATCCAAGTTCCAAGTTTATGATCATTTTCATTTCCAAGTTTATCATTATAAAGATCCAAGTTTATGATCATTTTAATTCCCAACTTTATCATGATGATGATTCAGGTTTATGATCATTTTAAGTTTCAAGTTTATCATGATGAGGGTCAATTTTATGATCATTTTAAGTTCCTTAATTTATCATGACGAAGATCCAAGTTTATGATCATTTTAATTTCCAAGTTTATCGTAATGAAGATCGACATTTATGATTATTTTAATTTCCAAATTTATTATAAAGAAGATCCAAGTTTATGATCATTTTAAGTTTCAAGTTTATCATGATGAGGATCAAGTTTATGACCATTTCAAGTTCCAAATTTATCAAAATGACAATCCAAATTTATAATCGTTTTAATTTCTATGCTTATCATAATGAAGATCGAAGTTTATGATCGATCATTTTAAGTTCTAAGTTTATGATTAATTAAAATTTTTGTAGTTGTTTTAATTCATCAAAATTTTTATAAGTTTTATGAATTTTTTTGTTTAAAAATTTTTATCAATAAGATGTAATTATCATAAATTAAGAAGAATGTTTTAAATAATTATTTCAATGTTTTAAATGATTAATTAACTTATTTTAATATTATGTTTTAAATGAATAATTAACTTATTCTAATATTATCAACGACAAAACAAAGAAATTTCAATTATCTTAAAGAAGATAATATAGCATTCAAAAAAAATGTAAACTCAAAATATTTTCCAGTTAAATTTAAATATCCTATTACACTTGCAAATAAGTAATCAATATTATTACACTTAGCTATTCAAACCAATCTTATATATCATCGATCCAATGTTATATATCATTAATATATATACAATATATAAATCGTCGAATAAAATTGAAATGAATTTCGAAAATTATCATAGCATTATCACTTTCAAATAATAGATTATAATTCTTCCGTTTTAATTTTATTTTAAATTAGCAACAATTAAATTGAAAAATAAACACTTAGCTATTCAATCCAATCTTAGATATCATTGATCCAATGTTATATATCATCAATATATATATGTACAATATATATAAAATCAAAATTTACAATAAAATATGTAGCACTTAGAAGAATTTAAAATTAAGTAATAACTACCTCCTTAAAAATTATGCTCCAACTAGAAGTTTGTGTGATATTTCACAAGTTGATGGAATGCCAGCA